TTATAAAATTCTTTAGTATAAAATTGTAGTTCTCAATTTTAGACTTGCAATTAGTAATAAATAAGGAATAATTACAAGAGTCTATTTCAAAAGAATAATAATCTAATAAATAGATAACAAAATCTCAATTTACTATCAAATTCTAGTTCTCAATTTAGGTTAATCTCCGAGTCTTTTAGAGATTAGTATAAATGTTATCTGAAATGATGTAATAAGATTTTTTTTGCCTGGTGGCATAATTGTGTTTGTTATCTAACGAAGTAATTAAAAAGTTGTTTGATAAGAATTATCAAAACTATCAAATACAAATGTATTATTTTAATGATTTATTCAACAAAAAATAAAACGAGTTCTACAGAAGTCGACAATGATTCTTATCACAGTAACGATAAATAAATCTGGTTTAGTAAAAAATTGTTATATATATATATTTTAAATCATGTCATTTAATTTATAGAATATTGATTCTTGTTATTATAACTTTTATATTCATTGTTTTTATTTCAAAAATGCCTATTTTTTTAACTGCAATTAGAGTCGTATATGAATTTAATGGCGCGCATTTCAAAATTAAAAATATTTACAATTTACAATTCCAAGATATGAGACACATGACGACTTTGCAAATGATATTGTCTGTGATTGCATTATGAATTTTAAACAACAATATCATACATGTGATAAATAAATGCATTTGTCAACAATAATTCTACACGTGCCAGTGTTACGATCTCTTGGAAATTGACAATAATTATAAAATTATATGTAGACACATTTTTATATTGGTATATATAAATTGTTGAGTAAAGTTTATCTGTATTTTCCGAAAATAGCTCCAAAAACAAATGTAAATTTTTGACCAAAAAGCACACATTTAGAAAAGTACTAAGGAGAAAATAAAGCAATTTTGTACTAACTTAATTCAAATCGATAAAAAAATAAACAAACGAATTATGAGCAAATTTGAAGTAAACTATAAAGTTTTGCTTGTTTTTACCTAAGACATTTTTTCATGATGGGGCTACTTTAAGCAAAAGTTAAAGTGTTTTAATTAAAATATTAGGTGACGACAAAATTCAATCTAATAATTTTTACAAATATATTATTTATAATATATCTATAATTTAATTTCCATTATCATTTACCACTGATTGATTTTTACTCATTGTGATTTTTCAATTGAGGAAGTAGTTGTATTGCGCAAAATTTATTTAATAAAATTTAAATTAAAAAATTGAATATGTTAATTGCCACGTGCTCGCAATTGACACCTTTCAATTTTTATGCTAAGTTTATGTAATTATGTAATTTAATCGCGTTCTAGTTTCTGTAATACGAATATCTACCATGGCCATGAGAATTCACTTATAGATTCGAGAGCAATGTGCTTCTAAAACGTTATTTTTCGAATCAAAAATAAACGAAAAAATAAAATTTTCATTATGTTAATAAGAGCACACCTGCCTACAATAGTATTTAATACCCTTAAATTTTTAATCAGAATTACAGGGTACTAAATTATATTTTTTTTGTTCTTTTTCGCTTTGCAAAAGTTTGGGGCTTATTGTGACAGTTTGTTTCAAAATTAATATATCTTTAGATCTACTTTGTATATTTCCAAGAAATAAAGATGGATATATGCTGTAACTATTTCTCCACCGAATCCAATAAAAATAATTCCAAAACTACTGTTCAAATGCGGTGCTACAACTTACCCAGTTAATTCTAACGACAATAATACTTTTGATAAATTACACTTTGCTTATTTTCAAGAAATTTAAAATGTTTATATTAAAACAGTAAAACTTTTCCTAATAAATGGCAATCAAGAAATTACATAATATCCCTTAAAAAAAAAGTTATTAACTAAAAGATATTTTTGAAAATAGTTTTACTCGGTGCTAGTAAATTTTGAAGGTGTTGCAATCAAATAACATTTTTATTACAATTATTTTACTTATATTAGTAAGAACCCATATAAGAACCTTTAGGTTACATAATTAATAAGTTTATATTTGACATGGGAATTAAATACAAAACAAATGTGCTTTACTATGTTTTAGTATTGACCGCACTCAACAGAGGGTCTACTGTGCTCAATTTCTTCAATTTTTTTAACGAACTGTTTCTCTTATTATGATGCATGTATTTTAAACGTTTAATTTTTTTTTTCATTATATGTTTTTGTGTTAATTATTTAAGTTTATCTTTTCTATATTATATATTTGATTAAATCGTATCTGGAACTAAACCTAGAGGTGATTTTACGTACTACAGTTGGTGGCGCACTCTATGGACAGCGAAAACTATTAAAATTGAAGTAATAGCAAAGCGGGCGTGTGATTATATCATTGCCTCGGACATTGTGATATCAAGCAGTAATAATGTTTACTTGAAATATAGTTTTAAATATGATTTGAATTGAAATTAGCCTTTGGTAACAAACTATAAATATAAAATCCTTAGACTTGCTTGTTGGCATATGGCATTTTGTATAAAAATAAGAGCGTTATTAATAATAAATTAATATATTTTCTATTATAATTTATTTTCAAAGTGCAGTTTAAGAAACACGATTCGTTCATTAAATTAGAAGACCTTTGATGACATTGAGTCAAGTCATTGGCTTATGATCTTAAACTATAAGATGTTATCACCGGGTGCTAAATATATGTAATAATGGCTATTAGAAGATCATTATCGCTAAAATAACTAATACTTTTTGTAAATATATATCTATGACTATTCTAAGATACGTATCTAAAAGACTTCCACAATTTTGCTCAATAAAAAAATAACGTCTATGTAAGGCCAAAAAATCAGGTTACAAATCAGGTCGAGAGAACATAAAATTAGCAAATCGGATTTTCTGGCGAAAACATGTACTTTTTCTTCTGGAAGTTAACTATTCAGGACAACCAATGGGTAAAAATAATATCATCACGACAGCTCGTAGAACAAAGTAACTAAATCTGACTGGTTAAAAAACAACAGGCTTCAAATATTTATAAAAATCGTTATTTTTTATTTTCTCAAATCTGAATGTATGATGTATAAATGATGCACAGCATAAATCTTTTTACCCCTAAGGCATGTCAATATCATTTACCCATTTAGTTCCTAAGTTAATTTTACAGCAAAAAATTATTCACAATCATTACTAATGGCTTTTTTCTAATTCTTTGTTTCAGCTTGTAAAAAAGGTGAATATCTTTATACCAAAAACGAAAAATCACCTTTAAAATCAAATCAGACAGATGGTTCTGTTCCAAGTGCAATCGCCATCTGTCACGTGTTAAGAATTTTTATTTTTTAACATTGCAAAAATTGGAAGAAGGACCCCCAAAATGCAAGAAGACGATAAGAAGATATATTGATAATTTAAACATTTTTGTATCATTATGTATGTATCATCAGGAACTGTAAGGAACTGATGGATTGTTAGTATCCTTAGGGTTCTTGCTCATCAATCATCAATCAAAATTTTGTATTTTTGAAATTGAGAGAATGAATGATGTGATAACAACGCGGTTTTATACCATCTAACAATTTTTTTTACAATTTTCGGACGTGGATAACGATTTATTTAAGCATGCAGCATTTGAGCACCAGTCCAGTATGTTCTATATTTTTATTTATTTCAGAACAGGGATTTTTTCAATCTCCATTATTATTTTCAGACTTATATTTGTGTTTTACAGCATCTAGGCACAAGATTTTCAGATTGTCTGCGATGACAGGACCGAACTTTTGTTTAACATTTTTATTGTTAATAACCCTTTTTTCAGATGCACATATTTTTTTAGCTCAAGATTTTTTCATACTTGCCGATAGGACAACGATACGGATCTACTGTTACAAATATATTTTTTTCTATTATCCGTGACAATGTTTTATCGTGAGTTTGAAAATGACCTAAAAAAATTGTCTGGATGATTCAGTGAGTCAGGTTTTAAATTTGGTGAAAGTTTGTAAATTGAAAATCAAGGGTGTTATTTGATTGAAGTTGATACGGAAAGTTTATATGTGCGTTGTGTGCTTAAATAAATCGTTGAAATTAATTTTATTTCAAATTTTGGTAAATGAGTTTCTTGTGCGTTGAATCTAAATTGTGAAATTAATTTAATCAGCATTTATAACATACTCCGTAAACCACAAAACGTAACAAAACCATAAATATTACGTAACAACGTTGCACGTGGCAGCTACGTAACCTAGAAGAAACACATGTCTCACTATTTCATTTTGTATATAAGTAAGGGGGCGTCCATTAATCGCGTGATCGATTTTTAAGGATTTTTGACCCCTTTTTTATGAATCTAATGATAGACTAATTATAAAATCAATAAGTAAATGCTTTAATAAACAAAAAACAATTTGCAATTAAAAATAAATAGTATAATACATATATAAAGTTAACAAAACTCAAATTAAATATTATTGCCTAAAACTGTCAGTCGCCATATTGTATGATAAATCTATGACACACGTGTGACGTGGCTGCTACGTTACTACCAAAAAGGAAGTAATAAGTAACAATTACGTTTCATTAACGCAACGTTGAGTCTGGAAGTTTTTTCTTTGTTACATAATTGAAAATTTTGTGGTTTACTGATTAAGACATTTTTAAAAATTATTTTAAAACTTAGTAAGAATTATAGAGAGAAGAGAACGTTGCGTTTAATTTGAAAAAATAGTAATTATATTAAAATAGATTTATTAAAATTAAGTTGACAATATTAAATTTTCAGAATAGTTCGTCTATTTATGTTTATAGTATTTTTTATTCAATTTCAAACAAGATACTCATTTTCTAAAACCAAACATTTACTTTGAAGATGGTATAAACTGCAACATGTCGGGCGCATTTTGTTTTAACAAATTACCATAAAAATTTGTTTTGTTCTCGATTCGTGTAAATAATTATCTTTAACCGTTTGTGTGAATGCGTGTGTGCATGTGTCAGAGCCAAGATGTCATGTGTGATTGCCAAATTGCAGCGCTTACCATGGACACCTGACCAGCACCATTGACATGTCACCGTACAAATTCGATTTGCCAGGCGCTCCGCCCAAACCTGATCACGTACACGTGGTAAGGGAATAATTCACATTTATACAATTTTTTTATACAAGTTTTTGTTTCAAGTCAAAAATGTATTACTATTTGTTTTATCAGGCGCCATGTCCTGATGTGTATCGCGGCATCTACCGCAAGAGCGACCTGCCCGAGGGCTCCGATCTTGGTAAAATGTACGGAGACAGCGTTGGCCAAATTTGCGAAGAAGTTTGCGAAAAATTGAGAGGTACAACTGATAGTAAAAATAAAGTTCCCAATGGATACACTAATGGAGTCGAAAAAACTAATGGTGAAGCAAAAGTTGCTCCTAAAAAAGGCGAGGGAGTGTGCGCTTTCTTTGCCGAGAGTTTGATCAGTTGCGGAGGACAGGTTGTGCTTCCTCCTGGGTATCTTGAGACGGCTTATAAGTGAGTAGAAAGGATATTTTCATGAATATAATATTTTTATCTTATTATTGTTATTTTATCAAATTGTTTCGATTTTTTTAGGCATGTTCGTGCTGCAGGTGGTGTTTGCGTGGCTGATGAAGTCCAGGTCGGTTTTGGACGAACTGGCAAATGGTGGGCGTTTGAGCATCAAACAAATTCCTCAGATAAGGTAAAATAGTGGTGCATGGCATATGGCAAATTGCTGGAACTTTCCGTATCAGAATTAAAAATTCGAGCAAAACAAATAACAATCAATGATTAATAACAATTGTTTCAAATATTTTTTAAAAAATGAATCCAACTGAGGATATATTTTTTACGATTACAATAACGCATATGAAATATATACAATTTTAAACTGAAATTATTAATTTAGAATTTATATTTAAAGTATAAAATTTTTTATATTTTTGAAAATAATGAAAAAAGAATTCTGAAAATTTGTTTGAACCGTTAAGTGAACTTTAGAAATCTTGGTATGGAATCCATAAAAATTGTAACAAAATTAGTACACATGCTTAAAATCTCTATAAAGTATCTGATATTTTCATGATGTCTAATGATCATTTTAGACAGCTACATTTCTTTTTCTTTTTTACATTTTTCTCTGTATTTCCAAAATCGTTAGACCTGCTTTTCCAAAAATCTAATCAATTCTTTAACATGTCAATACAACTGGAATATTTTCTAAATCATTAAAATTGGATGCTCCGTTCTCTCAAAAACTGAATTCCCATTTTCTGCACTTTTTGCTCCGTATCTCCAAAACGGCCGGACCTACTTTTTCCAAAAAACTGATCAACATGTCTCCACATCAATAGGAATCGAGTGAATTTTAAATCATTCAAATCGGTTGGCC